ATTTATTTATTTATTTATTTATTTATTTATTTATTTATTTATTTTATTTTATTTTATTTTATTTTTTTTTCATCAATAGATGTGTAAAAGTGATGACAGTTCAGGTGACCAAACGGTGTTGTAATTTTTCAGAAAGATCAGGATTCCTGTTGGTGTCCTGTTGGATTCTCTGCTGGCTGTGTGACACTTCTACAAGTTTATTTACATGTAGAACAAGTTACTAAGATGTGATCACTTCAGATGAACAAATGTCTTTGTCTGAATTCAGTGGTACCCAGCCCTGGTCCTTGAGGAACGCCTTCCTGCATGTTTCAGTTATGTTCCTGCTCCACCACACCTGATTTGAATGAATGTGTGATTAACGGACTTCTGCAGAACTTGAGGAAATTATTAAATCACTGAATCAGGTGTGTTGGAGCAGCGAAACAGCTAAAACATGCAGGGTGGTGTTCTTCAACAGGATCATGGTTGGGAACCAGTCTTAATTTATGGCCATTTTCATGAAATGAGTTTAAATCTTTTCAAGCAGACAGACATGAGATAAATATTATCTTGAGTACTTCATTACCACTGTATCTTATCATATTTAATATTCTGCAATACAAATGTTTTTAAACAGTAAAACAATGCAACTTCAAGCAAAAAAAAATGGGGGGGCTAAAAAACATCCAGTTGTGCTAAATGTAGTTAAACTAAGATAGCTGTGTTGCAATCACATTAATGCCTTTAAATAAACATTGACACAATATGTTCTAGCAAAACCAAATAAATTTACCACATTTTCTTAAAATCAAACAAAACAAGTGCAAACGTGGTATGTGAGGGATGTATATATTTTTTATTATTAAACTTACAATTTTTAAAATAAACAACTGTTTTGCAATAACTTAACTCATTGTAAACTGTTTTTGTAGAAACGGAGGGTTTCAAAATTGATACCATGGGCACATACCACGGCATGACCCTGAAGTCTGTGACGGTAAGAACGCGTTTCTTAATAGGTCAAATGACCACAGAGCTCTGATAACTAAACTGTAATGTTTTGTTTGATACATTTGCTTTTTTTAAAGTGCTCAATGATTGATCAAATAAAATTATCTGATGTTATATTAATACCGTTAGTATTGTACTGTCAAATAGCTTGAATTTCTGAAGAACTGGCACAATGTGCAGACAGAAAACTGGAGTTGGAAGTCTTTTGCTGTCCTCCTCATTTTTAGATGACGAACTGCAACAATCTCTACTCTGCTTTTGCATTTTATTCCAATTGTTTTGTTTGCTTTTGTAGATTTTTATCGTCTCTTAAAAGCAAAAGGTGGGCAATTATGTTTTGGGCCTGACTGAGTGTGGTTGTCAGCAAAATTATCTCCTGAACTACTGAACAAATTTTAATGAAAGACAGAAAGTATTCATTGTTTGTACTTTTGTTTTATTGTACTCTGGTAATCCCCAGTGTCGTTCTCTGCTTTTCCCCCATCGCTCATGTGAGCGCACATGGAGCAGACAGCTGCTTAACATTTTAACACACTACCCAGCACAACAATGGCTTTACCTCAGTAAGTTTTACAGATATTGAGCTAAAACTTGATGTGGTTTTGCAAACTTTAATAAACATGTAAAACAGATTGCATATTATACATAGAAATTGTTTTTCTGCCACAGTTTATTTCATCTTTCTTTTGTACCCAATCTTTTCCCAGTGCTTCGGTCTTGTAGACACGGTTTAGAAATCATTTTCTAGAAATCTCGACAGCATGTGACAGTTTAGACACAAAATTATTTTGGTACATGAATAATTTACCTGGATTTTAAATCCCTTGATACTCAGTCACGATATGTTTCTGCAAAGAAATCAATCTGTTCCAGCGTTTGCCGAGGTGTTAATGAGCTTTTCTGTCTCCGGTCCTTCTGTTGACGTGTGTTCTGCTCGTTCTCTCTTTAAACGTGTTGATGCAGGCGTTACGTTTGTTGCTCTGAAGGTGATGCCAATATTTGAGGAGCTCGTTTGGATGAAACCCATGTGATGTTATCAAATGACTGTACTTGCAGCTGGAGTAAGAAACCCGCCAGTGGTTGAAGAGGAACCCGTTGGGTGGAGGCGTGGGCTCGATTCCGAGCTTGGCCAGACACATTCCCACATACACATCCTCCAGATGCAGGTGGCGTACAGTCAGTGAAGTTTGGTAGATTTTCCTCGCCAGGTCTCCAGAAAAGACATAACCGGTCCCGGAGCAGAATGAGGGATACTTGTCTCCTGGGTATAGCTCTGGGGGCATGTACCACTTGCTGTTTTTGTTTCGGTTAGGAGCAAAGCCTCTCATGTTGCTACCTGTGAAGTAGTTCCTCCTGGCCTTCAGTTCTGGCCTGAGCAGCTTATTAATGAGGTACTCCGTGTTGACAAACATGTCACTGTCAGTTTTCATGACATAGCTTGCCTGTGGGCAGTGCATCGCTACCCAGTTCATTCCCATCAATGTCTTTATAGTCAGATTTTTATAGGAGTCCAGAAAGTCCTGTTGAATGATATCATGATGCCTCCGGCTCTCTGCCTGTAGCATGTTTCCTTGGAGAAGTCCAAGTTCTCCTTCTGTTTTCCCCAGCAGAAAGAGTCGAACGAGTCCCAGAGCAGGGGCAATGCTCTCATTGCCCCATGTCTGTCGTATGGCATTCCTTGCCTCCACCTGTCGAGCTTCAGTGGCAATTAGCAACACTAAAAAGAGCATAGGTTGCTTCTCTGCACATTTGTCTGGCTCGTTGATGATGTAAGAGAAAGGCCCATGGGTTATTGTATTGTTAATTTCTCCCTCTTGATTTTGACTTTTGTTAGCCGTTGGTGTGTTCTCAAAACTCGTGTCAACTTGACGAGACAAAACACCCTGCCTCTCCTGAGAGCTAATGTTGGCACCAGCCATGGAAGTTGGCTGAGCAACGATCACAAACCTCCACGCTGAATGTAGGGCGCTTGTGTTCCATTTGGACTTGGATATTTGAAGCAGCCCACCTCCATAGACCACAGGATAGCCTCTCCACCATGGCATGCCGGTAAGCTTGGGGAGCCACACTTGGTGGACCAGAAAGACCAGCACACCCAACAGTGAGAGGAGATACAGAAGTTTAGCTGTGTGCGTACAGCAGTGGCGTCGTCTCCACTGCATGGTTTTGCTGATTCACTCAAACTGATCTCTGATGTGAAGAGTTTGTGTTGAGTTGATTAAAAGCTGTTCACGCTGTTATTTTCAAGTGGATAAATCTGTCTGCTGGTCCCAAATGATAACCTAGAAGACACAAGAGATGGATATCTGAGCTGTAAAATGGATAGATATCTGTTTAATATCCAATATTACCTGCCAGTGTGATTTTGTGTATGTATTTATTTTTTTGGAATGTATATTAAGTACTGGCATACAGTATCTCAGAAAGGTGAGTATGCCCCTCGCATTTTTGTAAATATTATTCCATTTCATGGAACAACACTGAAGATATGGCACTTTGACACAATGTAAAGTACAGGTGTACAGCTTGTATAACAGTGTACATTTTCTGTCCCCTCAAAATAATGCCACGCAGCCATTAATGTCTAAATCGCTGGCAACAAAATTGAGTACAACCCTAAGTGAAATTGTCCAAGTTGTGCCCCATTGGCCAATGTCCCTCTTTGGTGTCATGTGATACATTAGTGTTACAATGGCTCTGATAGGGGTGCACAATAAATCAGCCGGCCGACTTATCGGCCCCGATTTCCTTAATTTTGGGTGATCGGCGATTGGCCAGTACTTACACGAGAAACCAATTTTACTGATTTTTTTTTTTGTTTAAATTTTTTTGTTTTAACAACAATGGTCTAAACTTCATTTATATTTCAGACAGAGCACTACCTCATGACAAGTTAAAACAAGTTTGTATTGTTTTTAGGATATTGTTCAAGGGTATGTTTTTCAATAAAATAAGATTGGAAAATTGAAGGTGCGTTGTGACACTTGACGGTGTTGCTTATAAAACAAAATCTATATCAGCAGACTTTTTAGAAATCTGGTGTGAATGGGGAGCAAGTGAAGTGTGTTATATTTGTTGTTATCACTGGTACACACTCTCATACTGGTCACTGGAAGCTCAACATGGCACCTCATGGCAAATAACTCTGAGGATCTGAAAAAAAGATTTGGCCTAGGATAGAACATTGCCAATAAATTAATTTTGATTCTGCACTTTAGGTGCCTAAAATTTTGCTTTCAAATATGAGAACTATGCACGTAATTGATATGGTGCTTTCACCAAAAAGCCCACAGCTTAATTGAATGTTTTGTTAGTTCACAGGTTGTGCTTAAATACTTTAAAAATTACCTTTAAATATAACATTAATAATGTTTCTATTTAAATATCTCATTTGTTATAGGCATGGAACTTAAATGTTGTCTTTCTTTTTCATGTCCAAATTTCAGGTAGTAAACAAAGCTGTAAGTCATTTTGTTTTAACATAATCAAATAAAATTTAGGGACGAATAGCATCTTACTAAATTTAATCAGTTTCAGTTTGAGAGCAGAAATGCCTTGTGCTGCTTTTGGAAAGCTAAATTAACCATGCAAACTATTAACTTAAAATTGTTGCTCATCCTGAGGTCAAATAGACTCCGTTCTCCACCAGTAGTCTATTGGATTTGATTTGTTGTTGTTGTTTTTATAGCACAGTTCTCTATGAAAGGACAAAACAAAGACCATTTTCTAACATTTTTTTTAACTGAAACAATGATTTTTTTTATTTTTTTTTTTTATTTTTTTAAACCGGCACATCCGTCTTATTTTGTAGGGCACATTTAAATCTGATCATTAATTTGTGCAGCACTATTTATTTCCTTTGTGTGACGTCGCATTGAAATGCATCTCTGATTTAAATATTTAAATTGCAAGCTCACCCGTTTTAATCCAAGAACTTGTTCCTTCCTGGTTTCCGTCTTTGCTGGATGTGTGATAAATTACAGTCTGTGTCTTGCAGCTTGACGTGTTCATTTACAAGTCTTCCTGTTCTCTTGCTGCTGCTTTCAAATATTGTTTTCTGTCACAGTTCTAGTAATCTCAGGGAAATGGCGTGTTTCTGGCAGTCGGTGCATCTGCACGCATGGGTTACTACACGTGTCAAATGGAGCCTCGGTTGCAGTTCCTCCATCTGTTTTGGTGCATTGTCCCTAGAGACACAGTTTTTTTTAATATAGTACCGTGCTGCTGATTCCTGTGGTTAAAGGAAGAAGAGTCTGTTACTGACACTTGGCTGCACCTTAAGTCATTTTTGCTGTCCTCTCAGTCCGTGTTTGTAGAGAAAGGCAGCTGTAGTTTGAAGATTTTCATGTGTGAAAGATGAGTAAGCGTTGCATCTCTCAGCTTGCCGCCTTTTTATTCCATTCCCTCACGCTCTTCTTTAATTCACAAGCCTGCATTGTAGCTCCTCTTCCTCCGATCTAGTTTCATCCATTTTCTTTTCCTCTTTTCACGCTCCTTGTTCAACGGCTCTCCATACTCTGTTCTGTGGCTGTAAACAGCGGGCAGGAGGAAGACGACCAGGAGAAATGCAGAGGTAGCGCCATCAGTTGTGTGTTGGCTTTGAACGGCAGCTCCCGGCTCTGTGGCATTACGCTCTCCTAGCACGTCATGCCGTCCCTGCTGCTGTTGCTGCCTGCTCTGTTGGTGCGGAGTGGGGGTTGGGGGGTTGGGGGGTTGGGCTGCTGTCCTACTTGTATTCACACCCACTCTCCAAAAAGAGGAATTATTATTATCTGTATTTCACATGCTGAGAAGAGAGGTGGGAGAAATGTTTGTGTGTGAGGCAGCAGGACACATCTGTCCTGGACTGAGGCATCTTGTGAATGAGCCTTCTCTGTCTCTGTCTGTCTCTGTCTGTCTCTGTCTGTCTCTGTCTGTCTGTCTCGCTTTTTCTTTCTTTTGCTCTTTCTCTCTGTCTATTTATCTGTCTCTGTCTCTCTGTGTGTGTCTCTCTCTGTCTCCCTCTGTTGGTTTGTCTGTCTGTTACTGCTTTTTGTCTGTCTCTGTGTGTCTGTC